TGTATATGTCTATGTGTAATAACAATTAAACAAGTAAACTTGCAGTGGTCATGGCATGGCATGCCCATCGGCAATGGGTTAAACTCTCTAAAGGTGTAGGGCCAACTATATGGTGAAAAGAAAAAAATATTAATGAATGAAAGTTAATGAAGAAAAAACCTACCATGCATATTTAGCTTTATATCTGAAATATCAATAAATGCAGTATTTTGCTATTTTTACATGATCTAATCACAAAATTCCATCTATAAGGTCAAGCAGCCCTCTGATTTTTTTTTTTATGATGGTAATAAGTTTGATGAAATTACCATAAATTGTTTTGTCAAGAAGGTTTTATTGTTTTTTCTTCCATTTTTTATGCAGTATGTATTGATATTGCACATACCTTACTTCATTGATTGAGTTTTTTTCTACACAGCTGGCTTGGCCCAGGGAAGGGCATTTTATTTTACATTGGTAGTTTATGTGAGCCAGTTTGGCTAGCTTGGTATCTGCCCATTTTCTTCTTGTTCATTATCATGATTGAGAATAAAGTTGACTATGTTGTCATTATGTGCCATTACATGCCCTTAATATTTACACTAGTTATTTTCTTTGTTTTGATGTCTAGCCATCTTATGCCAGTGGGTTAAGATTATAGTTTTCATAACACTAATGCACTGTCTTTCAGAATAAAGTGAGACCCATCCTGTTATCATAGGTAAAAAAAAATCTACTTAAATGGAAGCCAGCAGACACTTTGGTTTCCACCTCCCAATTTGTTTTTGTGTTTTATCTTAGTGATCTGTTTGTAATTAATTTTAACTTTATAAAGGAAAAATACTCAATGAAAAAAAAATGACAGATGTAAGAATAAGAAAGTCATGTAACAGTATAAGGGCAAAATATATATGCAATTAGAAGAAGATTTAAGAGGGTCATTGATGAAAATGTATTTGGATAAGGTGAAAGGATTTTAAATTCATTAGAAGCAAATCCCAGTATCAGAAATGGAAAGAGAAAATTGTATTTGTTAAAGAACTATGATGGATTTTCAGTAGTTTTTTTTTCAAGAACTTGCAGAAATTATATAATAGGTATACCAATATGATGTCAGATAACTCAACTGTCACAAGGATAATTAAAGTTTCATTGTTATTTCATATTTAGATAAAGCTGATGACTTCAAAAAGCCAGGATTAAAGATATTAAACAATATTTGGGTAATTGATGCCACACAGTAATCAGTCACATAGTACTACCACCAGTCTATTGTCTTAGGGCAAGTAATACCCAATGTAGTTTCCCCTTTCCTTGATATATATATATATATATATATATATATATATATATATATATATATATATATATATATATATATATATATATATATATATATACATATATATATACATATATATATATATATACATATATATATATATATATATACATATATATATATATATATATATATATATATATATATATATATATATATATATATATATATATATATATATATATATATATATATACATATATATACATATATATATTTTTTATGCAGTCAATACTGATGCATTGATTTTTTTTATTATTGACTTCATGATTATTATATTGTTAACAACACTAGTAATGGTAATATAAAAGAAAGAAATAATATTTCCGAACATCAAGGAAAACAGTAAACAAGTAAACGGGACAGGTGATTAATTGATAAACTGAACACACAGTGAGCATAGCTTCAGGTTTTCTGAATGCAAGGCTTTTTTGTGTGATGAACATTTGAAATGCTTCATTGTATGCTCTTGTTTAACCTAGTGCCACAGGAGAATGTAATGCACTGTAGTCTTATCTTGTGAATTTACACAGAGATGCCTCCACAAGTGCTCAACCATCATGGAATCAATTAATTGATGTATGTGATCTCCCTTGATTTCCACTTTTTTGGGGAAAATACAGTCTATACCATAGTGTCATTATTATCATTGACCTATGAATATTATTATAATATTAAACTATTGAGATAAGTAGTACAAGTAATTGATTCTTTGGTGACTAAGCACTTGTGGAGCCATCTATGTGTAAATGTAATTATTGAACTAAAATCATAATGGCCACGGTATATATATATATACACGCCATCCCCAGTGGCAGTGGGTTAAAAAATACTTTTGAGATTTTTATGTAACTCGGAGGGGAGGTGAGTGTGAGATGATGTCTATGGAAGCTATTTGGCACAAATTGCCAGAATAGTGTATCCTGAACTGTTATATGCAAGCCAAGGACAGTTAAATTTTCATATCTATTAACCTTCCAGTTGCGTGTGGATTTGAGGGCTAGGTACTCCACAGGCAGCCACAAAGTAAGCAAGTATGGAAGTATATTGGCATGCTCATAGTAACTTATTTTCTTTGATAATCATTTTTTTTCTTATGGAAGCTGATTTCTCTTAGTAACTAACTGAATGAGGAGATTGCTGTCTAGCTTAACTATTGTATTTGTACTATTATTATTG